GTTCCGTTCATCGTGAGTTTTGTCTTTTTGCAACGTAGCATCGGCACCGCGGCGATACCGATCTACGTTGTAGTCGTGGACATCTTCGGTTGGGGCGTCGGAGTTGTCCTCAGTGTCTGCATCACATGCAGACCTTGCCGTTGAATCAGGCACAACAGTTCTCTTTCGCGGAGGCATGTAAAACATTTTGGCGGCCTTGATCACTCTAGTATCCCATAGTAAACTGCTGAGATTTCCTTTTTTGACGTGAGGTGGGGGATAGCGGGCGAGTTCCGCACAAAATACCGCAATGGTTGCAATAGTGACAACCGTCGGGCCATCTTCCTCCTTGCACTTTGCATTGGCAATCTGTTCCCCAGGGGTACACTTGAGCATTTCCAATAATGTATCATTGTATCCGCGGGTTTCTTTCAGTGTTGAAACTTGCAGTGGTAGCCCACAAGATGGCAGAACCCCGTCTGCGGCCGTTTTAATTTCCGTTAAAAACGAGGAAAAGTCTCTCGCATTCCGCGTAATGTCCCACAGTGTTTCTTCGCCTTTTGTGCCTTGTGAAGCAAGGTCGGTTGCTCGGTGTAAAACTTCGGTTAGAGACTCGTCCATGGTTGGTGTCTGACAGGTAGAGCGATGTGTAGAAGAATGGGCGCCGACACTGCCTATATTTATGATGAAAGCATTTGGTGAAAAGCTCTGATAGCTATTTTTATTGAGGAAGAAGTAGACATAGGTATGTATCAAAACCTGGGGTCAGCTTAAGTGGCTGTTACTAATAAGTGCATTCCAAGAAGTGGTTCGATAAACTGGCCCCTTTGTAGCTAAGAAACATTCGATAAATTTGGCTCAAGTGTCCTGAGGTCTGGGTCTGTACGTAGCCTGAAGCCGCAAATGGTAGGATTACCCCTGAGAATTCATGATATAAGGTGTAGATATGCCCGAAAGTCTCCAGTCAACACCGGTAACCTGATCTGAGACCATGCAGAAAGCACCAAGTGTATCGGGAATGTTCCCCGCACCGATGATTTGTTGACTCAACACGCCCGGCGTTGGGCTAGAGTCAGAAGAGTTGATATTCCATCTCGGCGCTGCGCTAAGATTGACGAATCCGGAAGCAGCAAACTGGTTATTCGCGGGAGGTAGACACGGCTGAATTGCTTCAGTAGTAAGAGTAACCCTTGCAGCCACAGCCTGGTCGGAATCAGTGGCATTGTTGGGCTGAGATAGCGAGTTTTCCGCTCTGTCGCTGGTGTATTTACAGTGATATAGGCGTTAAACCAACCACCGCAACTGGTCTGACAGAATGTTATTTTCCTCCTCCAGGGCGTTCACCCTCTCTTTCATAAGTGAGGGTTGCTTTTCGCGGTATCTGGTCTGAGCCGCACGGTGCAGGGCACGCCTTCGGTCCATATCTGCAAACGTATTAGAAAAATATGTACTAGGTGGTGATATTTTCAAGGAGTAGATATTCAAGAAGGTCTGTAGACAATTAAGCCCTAATGTGATATTCCCATTTAATGCCCGTAATAAATAGTGCTATTACTCTTAATATGGCCAACTAATCCATCATACATTAAGGTAGATATACATCTAGTCTTAAGCATGCTGTACAATCCTGCATCACCTGCTTATCCGTCGTGTTGCATCGCAAACCCATAGCATCCTGCATCGCTCGCGCAGCGCGCCGGGTTGATGCTGGAGAGAGCGGGTGCGTTCCACGCGTCCACCGGCGCCGAGTCCATGTAGTCGGGCGCCACAGAGTAGCAGCCGCAGTCGGTTCCACAGTACGAATCTGCAACGGCGGCTGTGTTGGCATCTTCCCTGAGAAGGGCTCCTATGATTGTTTCTTGGTCAAAACGATCATCGAAGTAGGTTTTAGACGAAGGCGTCTCCCCGCCCGGCACATCATAGTCCATAGCTTCTCCTCCGTAGGTGCTTATGTCGACGTAAACGGGCCTTCCGCCGCCTCCGCCACCCACTGCCGGCAACCGCCGCGGCATCTGCTCTTTAGGGCCTCTAGGAGCAGCCACCGGTTCGTATATGTCTAGCTGAGCATCGGGCGGCTGGCTCCATTCCGACATGGCCGGTGGGGAGTTGTACGGTCCATGGTGCAAGAAACTTGTGGCTAGAGGCGAACGTAAGGGTGAGTTTCCAGGCGCCGATTCTACGCCTTGCAGCGGAAACGGATTGGGTAGGTTTTTGGATGAGGGCACGATGTCCTCGTTCTTGGGGATGCGGGTGGCTCTTCTAGCCTTTCGAATATCGTAGGAGCAGTCGTCGTGCCCTCGCTTATTGCAGGCAAAGCAAGGGGTCTGTCCGCACTGTCTCACCTTGTTAATACTTTCCCTTCTCTCTGTCTTGGGTAGTCATCCGGTGGGTATTTCTATGGATCGTTTTCGAATTAGTCTATCACACCTTTCGCTTGCGTCGCTGGCATCTCTTGCAGGCCCGGCTAGTTCGTTTTCGCTGCTCGTTAGGAACTTGAGGGCGTGGCATTGCGTTCAATGGCTTTAGGATAAGCTGAGTAGAAGTGGTGGTTTAAGGTAAACGGAGGACGAGAACGGGACAAAGTTGAGAAGGAGGAGCTAATAAAGCTATAGTAGATTAAGAGCTTTGTTCTCTTAGAAAATGGGAAGATGCACAATAAAAAGGAGAGCGTCTAGAGACTCTGAGGTCTGCGGGACATAGTGGCATTTTAAAGGGCACCCTCCCTCCTCTAAAGTATTAGGATAATAGCGCGTAAACAAGTGACTATAGAAAAACAATCGGAGCGCGTACGATAGGCGTGTAGACTGAGTAAAGGTATTCATCTCCCCACGTTGTCCCGTGAGTTGGCCTCAGTCCCTGCCTTTGGCGTCGAGCGAGAGAGATGGCGGTGAGGCAAGCAAATCTGCGGCTGGAGGCTTTTGCTTGCTCTTTCCCAGGTCTGCTGTAGCAAATCTGGCAGGTTCTCCTTCGTGACAGTTTCTTTCGGAGGCCGAAGACCGAGCTGCTGACAGCGTCTTGCAACCTCTGATATAGCCCAGGTCACAGGGTTTATTCCCTTACCTTCTCGAACGATATCTTGCAAGTGCTTGAGTTTCAGGTGACTTGAGTCTCTCGCGCTACAAAGCTGCTCTCTTAACAACTGTTCAAGATCGCTAGATGGAAGCTGTAGCCCGGATACTTCTAGTGGCTCCTGCTGTAACTGCACTGGTTGGGGCAGCGTTTTAGCCGCCTCCTTTATTTTCGTCACATAAGATGGGTAATCAGGCTCCTCGGCTGTAATGTCCCACAGGCTCGGCTTGTCTTGGGTTGTAAGAAGGAAGGCTGTTTCTAAGGCTTCGTTGATGGACTCAACCGGATGCTTGTTCTAGATTCTGTTAGCTGCTTGTCTCTGAACGCTTATAAGGAATCTCTCATCGTACCTCCATCTTAATTTAGAAGGCAATGTGTTGTATAAATTAGTGTAGAGTGAGTAGTTAGTAATTTAATTATATTTATACTCTTCCATTAACTCGGGAGAAAAGGACGAAATATGGTAGTTGTGAGGATTTAGCCGAAACGAATAGAAGCAACACCCCCCATTAATATAGATATTTTCGCCCTTCCACGCTGACGCTGCTGTTGAAGTCTTAGGCGAAGGCTGCAGCGCCATACACCAATCTAAAAATGAAAACAGCTCATGAAAGTTCAGAGATTCCCCTTAAATTATCGACTGTGTATGTGTTGTAAAACGGCGGTAAAAGTTGAACATTGACTGCAACGTGCTTCGGGCACTGACCCTGTGTACTTTAACTTGTATCATCTCATGAGCCGTTATTTAGCTAATGAACATTCAATAAATTTGATTTAAGTGTCTTGAGGTCTGGCTTTATACATATCCTGAAGCTGCAGGTGGTAGGCGTTGGTGACATCTTGGTCGCCTACTAAGTCTGCTAACGCGTGCCCGGGATCCCCAGTGTGATTCGCTAAAGTCTCCCTAGATGTACTTAGAGAATCTCTTCTATGTTCATTGTCGTCATAGTCTCGCTGTATACCGAGAAAAACTTTCCTCTGCGAGATCGCCATTATCCCGGAAGCCAGTATGGTATGAGTAGGGTATTGGATTTCATGTAGGGGGGGTACTTGCGCAGCAGAAAAAATACAGCTGAGTAGTATCAGTCCCAGGCCGAGAAGTACTGGGAACACGAGCCAAGCCACAGTTCTGCGCAGGGTGCGCAGACTGTTCCGCCGTAGGTCCTTGTCGTTGATAGCACTGGCAATGCTGATAGCTGTCAAGGGTGGGACCATGCTTATAACCATGATACAACCCCAAAGCCATTGCGACTGCACAGCAAGGTAGCGTTGAAAGCCGAATATAACAAGGCAAAGTGAGACTATGCAACCCGGCACTGTTATGATTATGTGAAGGTATGAGCTGACTTGATGGTGCAGTTTTATACTAAAATCGGTCTAACAGCATGAATTAGTCTTAGATTAGTCTGAAGAAAGCTGAAATGTCACTTACTGCCTGTGCACATAGGCATAGTGTGCTCACTAGTCGCATAGCAGTAAAGGAGCCAAATTGAAGGCCCTCTGTGTTGGGCGTCAGACGTGATATGCCGAATACTAGCGCGCATACTAATAATGAGACAATGCATGATGCAAGGCTGACTATAAGGAGAAAAGTGTTTTTGGCCCAAAGCCTGAATGCGAGATATACAACGAGGATGGCATATGCGGTAAACCCTGAGATGTATTCCAGAGGACTAATGCTAGGCAGCATTGCGAAGAGCGGTGTGGCCTGTTTGTTGAATGCATATCGTCGGGGATGCCGAGTCATAAGTAGTGTCTCCATGGCTCCAGCATGCTATGGCTGGCCAACTAAGCAACTGCCAAGCATTCATAGCCGTTGCTGACACATGGTACGAATATCTGCGTAATGGAAATCATTAGGTTCTCTTGGAGCGGTCAACAGTTTGAGTCTATTTGGGGAGGTAGACTAAAAACAGACGATTATCTGACACTGCATCCGATCTGTTCGAGGAGCCGAGGAGCATACCGATGTACTTCCGAGGGGTTTTTTGAAAACCCCCTCGGAATTATGGGTCCTAGCTGTCCAGGTTGTCGGCAGCCACCTGCGGCCTTTGGCGTGGGCGGCCGTCATGGGCGGCCATGGTGACGAAGCTCCCCGCCAGAGACGCACATAGGCCCCAGGCGGCTGACGGTTCGGTATGTGACAGCCGTCAGCTCTCCTGTCCCAGCTTCTTCCTTTCCACATCTTCATCTGCAGTTTGCAAAATGCCTTCGAAAAAGAGTGAACGAATGGGCAACAGAAAGTGGTGTGAACGTCTACCGGTAGGTACGCACTTTATATGCTGTAAGCTTTCTATCACGCGGCGGATAGGCTCAGGCAACGAAGTTGAGGTTCACTACGTACTATGCTGTGCGCAAGCAGTACCGGGAGACGAAATCGGACTGTACCTGGACAGGAAGGTCGGACGTGGCAGGTGGTGGTACAAAGGGGAATCGTATGTCGCTATTTTGACTGTTTTGTCACATACTGACGCGAAGAACAGAGCCGTTTGCGAAGAATGGAACGCAGGGTCCGGAAATTGCGAGGAGCGAAGCCATTCAATCCGAACCAGGCTGGAGAATCCCCTTCCCTTGTCAGAACTGAGCCAGATGCTAGAAGCTGCATTACACCTGCAAGATCAGAAGGAGCAGACTGGCGGGCTGCAAAAGATAGTGGAGGAGCTCAACATCTCACCTGCATCGGCGGAAAGAGACACTCTGAAAGAGAAAACGTTATTCGAGTTGCATGGAAGAATTCTTGAAAAACATGTCCGTGATGGCATTAAGAAACTTGAGGCTGAGCGCGACCCTGTATTGGTTTCTTTATCCTCGCGGATCGTCGAGTATCGGCAACACAACAGTCAGAATTTGGCACAATTTTTCGACGACATCAGCGACAGAGCAGAAAGCGCGGCGGAGGCAACCGAACGATTGGATCGTGGCGTCACTGAACTGACGAAGCGGATTCAGGACAGAGCGCAGAAGTTGAAATGGATGTACAAGCTCGATTCCTGGGCTGCAAGCGCAGTCCTGCGCGAATATGGTGCTGAAACTTCAGCAAAAATAACAAAAAGTGAACAAATACGTCAAGAAAGGCTGCCGCTTCTGATCTACCATATTATGAATGAGTTAGTTCCCAAGCTAGGGGCGGACGTCATTCTTATATATGCAGCTTTGCAGGGTACGGCAACTATACTCACTGTGTCTACGAAGCTAATTTGTCTAGAACAACACTGCTATCTCGAAAGAACAAGGCGAGATATATGCGATATTCCACGCTTTGCGAAATTCGTCTCAAAACGGTTCGAGAATCTCGAAATTCCTGACATAAACGAGAATATTCTTGTGCATTTTTCCCTCGCTGTTGTGGGCTGGGCTCTCAAAATATGGTATGGGTTCATCCTCAGTAGGTAATTCATGCTAACCTGCGATAGTTTTCGTGCAATTTGCAAAAAGTTAGGAGTCAATAATCTTGCACTGCTGGTGTTGAATTATGACAAGTTTGATGACGCGGAGAAGGAGTACATTGCTGCTCGACTACGTTCGGAGGCAGTAGGAGATCAGGAGGAGGCAAACTTAGCGCTTGAGGCTGCAGGCTCAAAGCTTGATCAGGGTTTATACATCTCGTCGTTCAGAGAGCTGCAGAAAGAAATTATTCCGAGACGGCTGCGAGAACCTTCATCTCAGTCGTTCGTGGTTGCACACAACAGCGGCGAGGATGCAACAGCCAATCACCAGGAACACACAGCAACCTTGTCACCCATGTCCTCGTCTGTGGGACCAATGGCATCACCCTTCAGCTCTAACGATGCTGGAGCAGGATTAGGTGGCGCGAACGAGTGTCAAAACGGCAGGGAACACCTGGTGTCAGGCGACAACCATGCAGCTCATAACCCGTGCGCCAGAGGAACAGAGGCTGCAGTCTCAAACGAAGAGTCACTTTTTTGCTCGACCCAACCATCTACCGACAGCGGCTACATGAGCAACGCGGGGAGCCAACAGTGGCATCACACTACGTCGGTGGCATCATCGTCAGGCGCCTTCTTGCTCCCAAGCCCACTTTCTTCTCGCCTCCCTACCCAACAGGGTACGGTGGCCGCTGCAGGCGAGAGCGGCGGAGAACGGACTGTTGCAGCAGCCGGGCAGAAGAGACCCCAGGTCGAGGACAACCGTACCTCAAAGAGGCACATGCCAAGCGCAGAAGAGGCTACGAAGAATTCGGGTCCCAGCGAGGCGTCGAATGTTGATCCGGAATCTGCGACATCTACTTCCCACGCTGTTCCGCAGGGTGACGTTGCAACGGGGGCTGTGAGTGCCATTGCAGATCCTATGCAGCATCAGGAGTTGGCTCAGGAGTTAGGATTCAACCTTGACGAATGGGATTCAATGTGCAGCAGCTTCCCGGTCTCATCCATAACGGCATACAACTGGGATGGAATGTTCGACAGCATTCCGGCGACATCTACTATGGTACACGGGGGCATCGCTATCAGCGACGAGTTACAGGATGTGGATTTCAGCGAGAACGCAGCTACTCTTCCAGCTTTTTTATCGGAACCACAGCCAAGTGGAACGGTACCCCCTGCGGATGAAGCCGAAACCTAACCTCCGGCAAGATAAGATACGAACTAATAGCATGTTCTATAAGCCCTCTTTCCTGAACCTTGCCCTCCGCCGTGTTCCATTTCCCGAGCATAATACTGACAGGTTCGCTGGATAGCGGAGTTAGTATAGCGACCTGATTCGGCTCGACATCGATCCAAGCGTTTCCTTCTAAATATGCCGCGACTGGTTTATGTTGTCGCTCCCCTCGCTCTATTCGGTGACCGAAAAAAACACCCACATTATTAGGGAGCTTGTCTTCTAATTAGCCATAGCCAATTATCGCCCGGCGCGAAACTCACATTATCGTTAATGAAGGTGTTGAACGTTGCTATCTCACGTGTTTCAGCATACCGGAACATTTTGCCAGTCGCTGACTCCATCCCCGCAGTCAGGGTGAGAGATGGGAGAGATTGAACAATTTTGTCAAAGAGCGGCCGAACTTCTGTTCGATCGCACGTATACACCGCATATAATTCGTTTGAATTATTCATTTTCGTGTTATTCGCGGGCTTTACAGAGGACTAGAATCTAGCAGGGGCGGGGTTCCATGGCCTTTTAAACCTCAAGACCTTGTGCTTGCCCCACCGAATATTCGCACATCATTGGCCGCGTGACTTGGAATTGGGCCGCAGCTAAAGCCTAACGAGATTGTCCGTCTATCAGCACCATCACAGCAGTAGCTGGAATCGCAGTTGACATGTCTTCAAACGCAAAGTATAATGCGTCATGCTCTGACAGTGATGTGGCCGGCGAAGGCATTGAGTCTGTGGATTCGCACGTGTAGGATGGTCCATCACTATCTCCGCTGTCTTGATCCGCCAATTGAGAGCAACGCAAGGGGTCTAGCGCGGACAACAAGGCCTTCAGTCGGGAAGCACTTGGTCCGTCGCCGTAGTATTCAGTTTCATTTTCCGGGATACCTTGGAACATTTAACCTGGTAACTTTGATAAATATCAAGGGCCTCATACCTTGTGGCGCCCCTATTTTTGGAAAGATGCTGTCCTCTGGGGTAGCAGCAACATTGGCATTTTCATGCTCTTCCTCGCGACGGACCGCGCCTCTCTCAGTGTATTTGTCCGTGAGCGGACGGGCAAGCGAAATATCCAACAGTTTACCACAGATCTTGCTGTCTTTGTCCGTGATATCCGATTTAGGCAACTCAGACAGCAGGGCATGTAACCGGGTAGCATTTTCGACGATATCATGTTGTGCGCCGGCGGCTTCGTTTCCGTTTCTGGGGGTATCTTGTATTAGTTAGCGAAGTAATCTTGGCAAACGTGGGGGGCAACTTACTTGGTAGTCCTTCGCTGGCTCTACCTTCAGGCGAAGTGGCGCGTTCGGCGCATCTGTGGCCTTGTTCGCCTGCGGTCGCGCCAGAGTGGAACGACCTGTTGAGCATTAACCAATGCAAATCCCGGAGTGTTCATTGCTTACGTCTTTGAATAGATGTTATCTTCTTGTTGGCTAAACATGACTGTCTTTGTGAAGATTTTGCTTGAGAAGAGGATAATGCAAATCGAGTGAGCATGCTGTCCAGACAGATTTCCGCTGGATGTAGCAACCTTTATAATGTCATATAGTACTTATTCGCAACCTCGCTCTATCGCTACTCTTCTTTGCATGAAAGCTCATCCCTACAAGCCTCATGCAAGTTATTCTCTATCACTTCCCATTTTAGAGCGTTTACTCCAGAGCGACCGTGAGTTCAAGTGAGCGGCCTGGTTCTTTTTCCCGGAGGCTTGGCAAACTTCCCTGAAACAGCTTTTAGGTAATATTTGCCTGCAGCTGTGTCTACTTTGCCTATGCTTCTGACCACTAAGAGAGAAGTGGGGCGCACACGTGAGGGGCGGTGAGGTGTCTAAAATACCTCATTTTGTAGATATAATCCCTCTCAGACCCTACATATCCAAAACCCCTCAACATTCAGGTGTTTAAACCCAGCTACCCCTCCCCAACTGAGACAGCCGTGCTCTCTGGACGTACTCAGGAAGCATGGAGGAATACATGCGGACACTCAGTTCGTTGGAGAGCTACAATCCTCAAGCTCTAAGCCCTCAGGCTTTAGACCAGACACTGCTGTCTTTGAAGAAACAGCTACTGAAGACCGAAGCGGCGAAGCTCTTACTGCCCGTGAAGGAGCTCCCATACAGCCGAGTGGCAATAGGCCGCCTCTCCAGCCTCCTCATTTTGGCGTACAAGCCTGAAAAACAACAGGAGCCGCGGATAATAAGTTTACGAGGACTGGATCCAGTCTCACTGATTATATGCGGCCTTTGTCTGACTCAGAAAACGCTAGAAAGCATAAAGAAGGACCTTTTTGAAGTCGTTCTCGAACAAGCCGTTATCGCATCGCAGGCCCATGTCAAAGATATCGCCACAAGCAACGAGATACAAAAGGCAGTGTTCTCCGTGGTGTTTGACGGAGAATTTTTAAGACGTACGCGATAACGCTATAATCACGCAGTCTCAATGCTAATACGAGCCAGATTATCTAGATCTGCGACGCATGGTCGCCTGCGCTGTATCGTCAACCCTTCAGTACTCGTTAGCGGGCACTCCATCTTGGTGCTATTCCAGATTCTTCCAGCCAGGGTCATCGCAGGCATCGCAGGCAGTATTTCCTGAATTATTAAGGAAAGCAAGTCAAGGTTTCATAACGACATTCTTGCCCTCAGAAACATCTGCGGACGGTCTCATTCGCTTCATAATTCCCTTTGACCAGCAACTACTTTGCACTTTGTTCGGTCGGTCAGGCCATGGAGCTATTGAAGCTGGTAAATAAATCACAGCCCGCGTTTATAACCAGAGCTGACCTTTTACTAGAGCGTTTCTCGGTGCGCTGCGCGGTAAAAAACCAGGTTGCGCCAACATTCGGCGACGACGTATTCGAAGCAATTACAAACAGCTTCATGTGGAGGCAAGATACCGGAGAGATCGAAACAGCATGCTTAGCCGTAGATGTCTATCCGGCGCAGCTCATGATGATTAGTCTGACTGTCAGCTGGCAATCATGCTTTTATTTTGTCAATTCTTTGTATAGGTTATGAACATTTCACAGCCCCTCCTTTTGCTCGCACGCGTATACCAGGTGGCAACTTCATTTCTCCGCTTCCAGATGTTCGGAAAAGGGTTGAATTATCCCCATCTTGAAACAATATTTCCTCGCACGATTCACAGGCGAATGACCGTTCGACGTTCGATGCATCAATATGGTGGGCCGCTCTTTTGTCGGCTTCGGTAAAGGTGGCTTTCGTGAACCGCTGCCAGCTACTCTCCTGTTAGAGTTAGCTTTCGGACGAGTTCTCCTTTAGGCTTTCATCATACCAAATCTACGCCAGTTGCGATTGAGCTTTGCGCCATGTCAATGGTCGCGAGGTCTAGCAACCGGCCTCTAGGTACACTTTACTAACTCCAAAGAAATGGATGGTGTATTATCACACGACTTTGCGCCTGACAACGGAGATGATGTGATATAAAGGTAACTAGCCCAAGCATTGTCTTTTCTAAGACGGTAGGAGTAATTTGATGGTTGTTATGCTTGTGTAAGCGGGGGTCTTTATCGTGGGGAGGTGCCCATGGTACAAAGTGGGGTGATACCATGTGACACCATAGTGTGAGAAATATAGTTGGGCGCAAATGACGTGGACAGAGCTGCTGTTTGATGCCTTACGAGGGCTGCTTTCACGAGAAACTTTGCAGCCAAGTATGATCGATTTATTTTCTGCACTGTACTGGTGCCCATTAGGTTGTGGTGAGGGAGCGAGTACTCAGTCAGACGAGGGATTTAGGCATACCAATATCATGCAGTTGATATATACTGTACTTGTATCCGTACACGCTGCCACATGCGCATCGTCGTCGGCTGATACACTACGAGACCTCGAAGTGCTAACGCATGTATCGAGGGCAGGATTCAACTTAAACAGCACAAATTTGCGAATAAACAATGAGGGACCTCTGAGAATCTATGTAATATAGCCTTCAGCATGATTAGTCATACTGCGCATCCACTCTCGCTGCCAAACATTTCTTCAGAAATGCACTTGCCGATAGCGGTTGTAGCAATATCATAATAACGGGGATACGTATGCAATAGGCGGGGCTTCCGTCAGTCCCATGACATGACTAAGCGGTCATCGCGGGACTTCTGACAGAATGCTTGGTCACAAAGGCAACATCTTCAATTCAACGAGCGAAGCAATTTTAGCTTGATTGAGGCTCCTTAGTACCACGCAACCGAAGACATTGAACTAAGTCGATGGTCATGCATGCTACACAACATCGAGGCAACCCCGCTTAGAACACTACTAGTTCACCGCCGGCTCAGTGATAAAAGTATGCCAGTTTGGTACCTATTATGCCTCGACCGCCGAAGGCACCACCAGACGCTGGCATGTGACTAACAAGTGTTACGTCAACGTCCCGCGCAGCCCTGTCGTACCTATATTGTTCTACTGTCAGCGTTCAAAGAAACCTAGAGTTTGAAGCTAACCGTATTCAAGCGCGGGTAGCACGACAAAGTATATAAGATGAAAGTGTAGCATCAGGAACATTTGGCAGAACGTGAAGACTGGACCATGTAAGCCGCCAAGAAGAGCCTGAGGCCAGCCAGGGCTGCCCCGCGGGTTTCCATCGCAACCCAGGGGTTGTGATTAGTCATGCCCTCATGACGCGACGTACCACTCCAACCACCGCTAGGTACTCTTGGCTAGAGGATCGATTGACAGACCGCTCGGAGCCAACATACAGTTTTTGGCCATCGGTAGTCGAGCTGCGCTGTAATACAAAATGAGATTCGGGGAGTTGGAAAGTCTGCGGAAGCGCCTGAAGGAGGAGGAACGGCTACGAAAACAAGCCGAGCAACGACGCGACGAAGTCGAGCAACAACGCGACGCAGCTGAACATCAACTGAGGCTTCAAACCCAGCAGACCCAGAACACAACGCTGTTAGAGTTCCTTGATGCGTGCCACAAACATCTATTTCTTGGTCTTGATGTCCAGGAAGACAAAGAATCCTCAACAAAAGGTGATCCCGCGAACGCCGAACAGAAACTCCGCCCAGATCACATCCGCGAATGGACAAATTTCCCACGGGAGCAAGCTAAGATATGGAAGGCGCTAATGGATGCCGATTTCGTCACCGAGCGTCACTTTACGCCTCTGTTGGTGTTGGAGGACAACGGCAAAGATCTACGACAACGGAGTTTAAGCTCGGAGCTTGACCTAGGATACTTCGAACGGCAAACAGTTGAGACGCGTGTTGCGTCAGTCGTTAAACAGCTGCACAAGAATACTCCACTTCGCGAAACGTTTCAACTGAAAGGAGACGTTGCATTCGAAAACCATGCGAATACTTTGACGGACGAGAGAATACTTATGACAGATATGAGCTCTTTGAGTCTAAAGCACAGGCCCTCTACGGCGATCTGGGCGCCTTGCTGCGAAATCGGGAGGGACGTCATCCCTCTCTGCAGCAACCCTCCAAGAAAGTCATCAGAAGCCCCGGCAACAAAGGCTCGCGCGTCCCAAAGCGGATCAGTTCTGCGTCTACAACAAAGGGAGCTCCGAGCGGATACCTGCTTTCATCGTGGAATATAAGGCGCCTCACAAGCTTTCTCTAGCGCACATTATGGCCGGCCTCATGGACATGGACCTTGATGATATAGTCCGACTCCAAGAAAATGAGACCCCCGAGATGATATGCCGGCGTGTCGTTGCAGCGGTCATCACCCAGGCATATTCGTACATGGTCACGGGCGGTATTCCGTTCGGCTACCTTTGTACTGGAGAAGCATTCATATATATTCACGTAAAGCGTGATGAGCCGGGGTGCGCATACTACTATCTCTCGGTCCCAAAGGAAGACGTTGGCGAGTCTACCGGCTGGACAGCCGACCTTGATGGTGACAATCGCCTGCACCTCACTGCTTTGGGCCAAGTCCTGGCGTTTACTCTTCGTGCGCTGCAAACCACCCCACGGGACAGTGGTTGGACTAAGTGGGCGGAAGCGAAATTAAACAGATGGGAGATGGTATACGATGATATTCTCGGCGAAATTGAAGAAAAAGACATTCCAGCTTCCGATTTCAAGCCTAGTACTCGAAGCCGAGATAGATACTTGCGCATGTCTCCGGTGAAGACCAGGGCAAGAGCCATGCTAGCCAGCGCGGCTTCTTGTGACCCTTCGCAGCACATCTCACCATCAGATGATGATGAAAACTCGGACGAGGGGTTCGACCCCAACACACCGAGCCGAAGTCCCCGAGAGCCACGAGCTGCCAACTCTTCGAGTCGCCGGGCTACCACGAAAGCTTCAAGAGATACAAGCACAAGAGGCGCAGTCCGGGAGTACTGCACACAGAATTGTTTGCAGGGCTTGAAAACGCAAGCTCCACTCGATCCGACTTGTCCAAATGTATCAGTTCATGGTGTCAATCGGCATCGATTGAGCCTAGCCGCGCTCATTCGTCGATTGTCCAAGCAATTCTCCCCGCAGGATCTGCATCCAGACACGCAGCTAGGGTGCAAATCACTCCACACAAACGGAACCCGCGGTGCTTTATTCAAAGTGACCTTGCTTTCCCACGGATACACTTTTGTTGGGAAAGGCGTGCCGGCAGAATTTATTGGCGATTCGAAACATGAAGAATCTGTATACGCTCATTTGGCCGAGATCCAGGGTCTACACGTGCCCGTGGTGTTAGGGGGGCTGGATGTCCCCTCTTTTTATTATGATGGCATCGTGCAAATCGTGCGTATCATGCTTATGAGTTATGCTGGGGCTCCAATCGCGAGAGCCATTACGCAATGGCCCGAACATCGTGATCGCCTGATCCGCAAGGCTGAGATCTCCTTGCGAGCTGTGCAGAGGTGTGGGGTACTACACTCGGACCCAATACCTGATAACATCCTGCGAAATAGCAGAGATGATCAGGTAATGCTGATCGATTTTGAAAGAGCAGCTCTTCCGGGACAACGAACCCCGCTAATGCCAGTGTCGTCGAATCGGAAGCGCAAGCGAGTCGACCAATCCGCTAAGAGCCGACAAGATTCACTTGCTTTCGATCGCGAGGTTCAGAAGTTGCGAAATAATCTGTTTTAATTAACTATTCGCCGGAAGAAATGTTATAGCAGATATTGGTGAGAGAACAAAGCATGGCCAGTTGCTAGTCACTTGTGCTCGCGGTATTTATCACACGCTACGTCTGAGGTTCTTTCGTGGTGCTTTTGGCGTTATTTCCAGTGAGTGCCACCACGAACAGCCGTTGTTGTCTGGGTCGCTCTGTGCGCTGCTCGAGAAGCATTGCTGGCATCGTTGCCACTCAATCTCCCACCGTGGCTCACCACCTCCCCTGGAACTGTGTTTCATCTCCTTGTTCGATAAGGAGCGCCACCACTTCCTTGCCATTCCTCTACCCCCGCCATAGTCTTTGCCACCTCAATGCAAGTACGGCCCGGAGAGATTGACGAGATGACAAGATCAGCGCTAGAACTGTGAAGGCATCGATGTTGTGGGTAAACAATCCGACTCTGCGGCTTTTCCCTTTGGACGAATCCAGATGCCTATAAGCCACAAAGCGTCGCCAGGCTGCAAGAGACGGCTGCAGCTGCCCACATTACAAAGCCATTAAAACTCCTTCTCTCACGTGCTGCCAAACCAGGTTCTTTGACGCGTGAGACAAGGCCGCGAAAGTATAAAAGGTTGGCGGTCGCCCTGCGCCTTTCCTTTCCTTTTCACGCCTAAAACCCTGTGGTCCCTACATACGATGGCACCGGCCAGAAATGCGCGCACTTCTAAGGCTAGGGAACTTAAGCGCACAAAGCCTAGAACCTCTAAGCCTAACAAACCTGAGCGCAATGAGCTCGTAATCATCAGCATTCCATCAGACAATGATGATTCATCCGACAATGACGGTTCATCACAGAGCGACTCAGACGATGATGGCTCCCTGCCGCTGACTAACCCCTTAGCCCGAGATGCAACTGAGACTGGTAAGTTTAGCACTGGAAGCGAACCTTTGATAATTTACTGATCAGTGTACTCGGAAGATTCGAACGGAGCTGCCGATGCCGGCGGACGGCTGGGAGCGGTTCAACCCGAAGCTGACAACATGAACGATACTAGAGCGCATGGGCGCGCCGGCGGTGGTCAGGGAGCTAAGGGTGGCGAGAATGCTGGTGCCAGCGAAAGTGGCCGTATCGGCGGCAACGACCGACCACAGGCGGGAAATGGTGGCCATTCCGTTCCTTCGCGACGTGGAACAACGCACCAGAGGCGGCCCGATGAGATACTCAACTCGGAGCAAAAGTCGGATAATGCCAGCACTGACGCTACTCGACCCAACAAAGTCAGTACTCTACAGAGAGTTAGGTTAACTGCACGAACGGCTACAACGGCACTCACGAACGGAAATCGGACAGCGATGGGTGGCGACGCGACAACTCAATCTCAACGGCACAACACAATCTATCCATTCAACCAGGATGCAAGGCGTGATAGCCAGGCATTCGAAACTGCAGTTGGACGCTTAAGTACGGAAGCAGAGCAGAGGACGGATAGCCGAAAGCGTCGCGTTGATGTGGCCTTCTCCGAAAGTCGAAGCAACCACACAGAGCACGACAGTCCTAGTCTGCGTTCTACGACCGGCGCAAGTGGACCTCACAAGAGGTATCGGAATGAGACCGACGAGACATCTAAGGCGACAAAAGAAATGGAAGTGCCAACGAACGAAGGAAGCACTGCTGCGACAACATCGTCTCGATTTCTGTTATCGAACGCAAACATCCGAATGATAACTCCAGAGAGAGATGGGTCTATGACGGTTGAAATTGATGGCCACTGGAGTATTAGCCTGATTGATATGCCAGTACCATGCCGAAGGAATGGTGATCCATCTACAATATGGGTTTTGTCGGTTCGCCAGTTACATGGAGACGTTACTTATTCATGTGAGGGGTTTCTGGGTATACATGCTCGAGCTCCGCAGGCAGTCGTCGAGATACCTTAGTTTTCTCATTAGTAAGATAATTTATGGACAGTACTAGGAGTAGTGGCGGCGATGTGCAAATGTGGCGAGTTGGCCTACGCTAGATTCGACCCGTGCTGGTAATCGGCCTCTGTAAAGTAGCTCGCCGAGTCCGTCGTCGCCGGCCGTCAGAACACCCACCTACTGCTGAGGCGGCCGCTGCGGTCGCACTTTAACGGTCTCTGTCTTAGTGGCGCCGGCTAATTGGACCGTCGCCGGTCAGCTAACTGCGATGGCGATGTTGACGATGCTGACGCAGCCTAGGCGGTGTCAGCCATTTGAGGCACTGAGGACGCTGAGGATGCTAAGGGATGGCAGGGGCGGCCGCGGCAGTACCGGACGGCTGCAATGTATCCCCGCGCAAAAGAGCCGTCAGCTCTTAGCCATCCTAACCGTCAAAATGGGCATGAATTACTCTGCATCCTCATAAGAGTCAAATATAGCATAACCACACTGTCAGCTCCATACATTCTATTTTCGTCACGGCCTGGAAAGGCCTCCATGAGCTGCGTGCTGCAGGAATTCTGCAAGGATGCCTGGCTCGTTCAGCTGAAGCGGGTCGCGCGACACACCAGGGCGGAGCTCACCCAGGTCGCGCGTCGTCGCGCGATTGGCCGGACGGGCGAAGGATTTCCGCACGGTCATGCTATTGCCTAGGAAGTTATATGATCTTCTTAACTAGCTAATCGTCTTCCCTACACCCTAATATCTATATAATAGGTGTTTATATATTTCCTTAATAAGCTACTCTTAGAGTGTACTAAAAATATACTAACGTTTATTAAATAAGTAGTTATCCCTACTTTTAGTTATATACAGTTTTATTTCCTAATTATCTAAGTAGCTATCTTTTTTTATATATAATATAATACGTTATATCTATATATCGTCTAGTTTAGCTTACTAGGTTATATTAGCTTCTTATATACCTAGTATAAGGTTCCTATCCTTATTAATTTATAATAAGGGTGTGTTATCTACTTCTTCTTCTAACTTTAGATCTTCTCTATAGCTAAGCGTATCCACTCTACTATTTTCTAATCCTTTTTAGTATATAATCTTAAAATCATAATCTATAAGGTTTTTATACTATTTAATCTATTATTTATTTAGATCCTTTATTATTAAGAATAATATAAGGTTCTTATAGTTAGTATATACTTTAATCCTATAATTTACTCTAATAAAGTACTATCTCTATTCTTTAAAACACTAAATAATAACTATAAGTTCTTTATTATAGATTCTATAGTTTAGTTTAAGTCTATAGAGTTTCTATAAGAAGAATATAACTAGGTATAATCTTCCTTACTCGTCTTATTATCCTAGCTATCTACTAAGTGCTTAGTTAGAGGTATTAGTCTTAACTTTATAGGGTTTCTCTAGATTAGGTGTTTTTATAACTAGTTCCCTTATAACTAGGTCCTTAATTTTTTAGAATACCTTAGCTTTAGTTTCTTCCTATTTAAACTTAGTATCCTTTTTTATTAAGTCTATAAGGGGTTAAGCTATATTACTATATCCTATTAGGAATTTATAGTAGAAGTTTATAAAAGTAGTAAATAATAGGACTCCTTTTAGGTTAATTAGTATAGGCTAATTATAAGAACCTTAT